TAGCAAGTCATACTGTTGCAATGGATCAGCTAGCATTTGTCTGCTTTCAAACATTTGAGCATAATCCCTTTGTCGAGGCCTGTGTCTATGTGTAGCCTCCTCCTGTACATCAGATGGTAAGTTCCCGAATGTCTCTTCATCCATCTCGTTGAGTACAGTCTGTCGTAGAGCACTGGGGAGTGTGTTAAGGAAGGAACAAGGATCATCTGATGTTACCAGATTCTGTCTCTGTTGTTCAATACGTCTTTGTGAAATGATCTATACAGGACAATAGGATAAACAAATAAATAAACACAACAATAATGAACATACTTCATCTTGTATATCAGCTGGCATCTCAGCCAGAACCTCAGTGGATATTTCCCCGTGTACATGATCTAGTTCGTGTCTCTGTCTGCCTGGAGCGTTAGGAGCAGTTGGTGTTCTGTCTCTCAATACAGTCCGTAGTTCTTGTTCCTCTCGGATTATTTCTACACGTAACGTCTCAGGTATAGCAGCTAGGAAATCAGGATCTATAAGATACAAGAGTTAACATTAGAAACAAGATTATATGAAATATACGTTTATAGTACCTATGCTTGGCAACAAGGTTGGTCCTGATGGAGCTGGAGGAGGAGGAACAACGTTTTCCTGTCCTGTTTGTGAGTTTGTATCTGAAACAGGTTCCTCTGAAGTAGTGGGAGCTTCTGAGGTTACAGGGGGAGTAGAACCAGGAAGTTCCTGATAAGGATAGATAGGAGTTATCGGTGTGAATATATTAGCAGCTGATTGCTCGGGAGTAGCAGCTGTATCAGATACGTTATGCATTGGGATAGAAAGAGGCTGGCTTAGAGGGAGATTTGTGTCAGGAGGGACATGTGAAGTGTCTCCAGCTGGACCTTCTCGGGGTCTATCGATGGTTGTAACGGTGGGAGGAGCTGTGAGTTGTACAGTAGATGTATCAGCTGGTAGAGAAGTAGCACTGACTGTTGTAGAGGATGAGTTAGGGATGAGGGGGTTAGGAGGAGGTGGATGTCCTGCTACGGCTGAAAAGAAGGTGTACAGAGGATGATTAGAGTCTATCTGTTGTAGTGTCTGTCTAGCTGAGAGCTGAGACCCATCAAATTGGTTGAATAAGAGAGGTGAGTCTGTTGGGAACTGTGTAGGAAGACTAGGTTGATCAGCAGAAGGCTCCAATAAATTAGAAGCTGGTAGCTGTTCAGAGGGAGATGGAATACTTATATTACTTAAAAGCAGAGCTTCAGGTAAAGGAAGAGGAAGAGGAGGAGGAGATATAGTAGTGGGTAGAGTTAATGGATCCTTCTCGAATTTGTCTAGTATATCCTTCATTAATTCTTCTTTTGATAATTTTGTAGAGTCTTTTGTTTCTTGTTTTTTGTTCTTTTCTTTTTCATTTTCTTCCCTGAGGAATACAGCTATTTCTTCTTGAGCCTTTTTAATACTTTGGAAGCTATAACAACTTCCAAGTATTCCATCTTCCTGATGTATCCTTAGATTGCACATGGGGATAAAGCCTTCATCTTCATTATCTTGTGACTCTATGTTGTGCTCCTTGTGTAATAAGGGGTCCTCTTCAAACACCAGCTGATCCTGTTCTAGTACAAGTCGTCTCCATTGACCTGGAAGAGGACGTGCTCCAGGTTCTGGGAGGGCAGCACTCCTAATTGAGGATACTAGCTGTAACACGCTCTGAGGATCAGATACCCGGAGAGATAAGGAAGATTGTTGTGTAGGAGGAGGCTGGTGAGGTGATGGTTGGTGAGGTCGATTAGTTTGACGGTTGAGGAGAGGGTGAGCAGGAATACGGTTAGTATTGTGAGGTCGTTGCATACCGGGGAACATAGATTCCCTGAACAGATTCCTGTTGATAGAATATTCTCTTCTGAGTATAGGAAATAAATCGTCTACAAGAAGAACAATTAACCAATATCTTAAAATAAGAATTATTTGTTGTTACCTTGTAAATCGAGATCTTCTAAATCAGCTGATGAATCGTAATCATAAGATTGTCCCATGATAGTAACAACCTCACTCATCTCCTCTGTCTCAGCATCACTGTCTTGTGAGACGTCTGACTCTATCTCTACGTCATCAGGGATCTCATGCTCGTCATTAGAGCTACTTGATCCTAACAGAACATCTGATGGAGGCTGATCATCTACTGGATAAAGAATAAATAGAAGTATATCTTTTAATATACAGAACAATTTATCATACCATCATTATCAAGATCATCTGCTACTGTGTTGTCAGGGTCTTCGGTTATGTCGTGTGGAGAGGTTACATTAAGATCTATAGAGGTGTCATCGTCTTCTATTGAAGAGTGCTGGAGATCACCAGCTCCAATGTTCTGGGAAGCACCTAGTGAGATCACTACTCTGACGTCATTTGAATCCAAATGCTCCCCCACTACAGGTTCATCCAAGCAATCATAATTATCCAGCTCCTCTCCAGCTGAGTTACAATTATCAGGGTCTTCTCTCAGCTCCTCTGTGCCATCCATACTCTCATCGGTCTCAGTGTCACCTGTACGATCTGATGAAGTAGAATCAGAATCTGTTCCAGCATCATCACCACCTGTAGCAGACAAGTAAATGTCTGCAATACATTACTATATAAACACAGAGAAGATGTGTATTAATATATCATTGAATGTTACCTTCATTCTCCTGGTCATCAGCCTTGATTATATTTGAGAGCTCTATCATCATCATCTCGTTATAAGAAGGGTCTTCCATACTGTGTTCTATGAGTGTGGCATCCCCTGAAGCTATTACAACAGTATAATAACTATTGTTTATAGCATTTCTATTATTAATTACTTACCGTTTGCAGTGTCAGCTAGCTCTATAGGATCACTGTTACTTGCTTGATCTCCGTTAGATGTTGTAGGCTGTGCATCAGCGTTTGCTTCCACCCCAGCTGTTTGATCTCCTCTCTAAACATACTAACAACAAATATTTGTTGTTATAAATAAATAAAACTAATTATGTGGTATATACCGAGGTATCTGTTGTTGTTTTGTTTACTTTCTTGACCTGATTCTGGTGACCAGGAGTATTATACAACAACTTGGTCAATGCCTCTATAGTCCTGATAATATTGTTAGCAGTCTCAGGGAGATCTGGACTGTTTAGATCCAGACTGTGGAATACTTTAGCTAAGTCAGAAGCAAAATTCCTTTTCACCATACTCTTAGCTATATTGAGTGTGTATCCTTTCCCTGGCACAACAAGGAATGTATTGATCAATCCCAGTAGTGCTCTGAGCTTTATATGTTTCAATTGACATTCTGGCAGTTGTGAAACTCGTAAGATAGCTTGCTTCAACTCAGTGACTAATAGGATCTGAACATCTGGAAAATTAGAAGTAACAAGACCACCAATCGTGCGGAGGAAGGATTTTGCGACTTTTGACTCATGAATTAGATTATCCAAAATATAAGTAAGTGCTGTTGTTTCCTGTAATTTAACATATTAACATAAAGAACAACAACAATAAATATTAGAAATACATACCCCATTACGTGGTAGCTTCTCCTGACAGATAAAGTTAGCACACATGGGATAACTAGTCACTAGTTCTGCTAATAGACGTAGTATGCCTGATTTACTGACTATAGCCTGCTCGCTAGGATTAACCTTAGCTGTAGAGAGAGGAGAAGGCATTTGGAAGGAGAGAGGTTGCATATCTGATAACTCATCAATATCCATATCCTCATCTACCATATCCATCATGTTATTTACTTGTAGTTGGAAAGATCTACAGGATATTTACGATATATTGATCATACATGTATTTTAGTCAATTAGATAAATACCTGAGCGGGTCTCCTCTGAGAAAATTACCATGCAGACGATCAAAGGGGTTAAATCTATTCCTAGCTAGGCGAATCATGTTTGAGCTTGTTGGAAACAGAGGGTCGAATGGAAGAGAGTTTCCTAAGAGCAGAGGGTTGGTAGCTGTGCTTGAATCAGCTGGATCATTTCCATGATAAAGTAATTCTAATAGATCTCGTATAAAAGCCTCTTGATTTTCATTGTCTAGGGTAGTGAATGGCTTTTTACGAGGAAGGAGTTTTACAATTTCTAACTTCCTTGGTTCTTGAGTAAAGAGCTGCTGATGAGGTGAATCATCTAGTCTAAACACCTCTTTAGCAATCTCCATAAATACTTCAGGATGTTTATTATAAATAGGACCGATGGAGCGGAAGAGAGCGTCCAAATCTTTAGTATTTCTACTCCTCCTACCCATCCTATAAGGCATACCGCTCATATTAGGGGATGGACAGTGATGAGCTATACGGATAGCACTCTCCATCATGTATCGTAGTGCATTCTCTGATTCAAACAAATGTCTTATGAGAATAGAGGTTAGAGCTTGGAAGCCTGAGAAGATCATGTCTTTCTTGAAACTGAATAAGTGGATATAACCCTTACACTCTCCGAATATTAGAGCCATACGATAGTCTCTGGTGAGTCTGATGGAGAGCTGAAGCACTGCTTGTAATAGAGATGTGTTCTTCACGAATTGAAGAATAGTAGCGCATGATCTGTAATTCAAAATACATATAACAATTCATAAATTCGCTTATAAAATACAGCATTTTACAACGTACGTAATTATTCTAACTTTCTGATCATAATTCAATGCTAAAGCAGATGCTAGATCTCTCATATGATCTCCATCTAAGATAACTGGATGAATAGGAAGTTTTACAGCAAGGATTATAGTGTATAACTTACGAGACGCTGGTACAACTTTAGAAACAACCTCTGCTTCACTGTCACTAGATGTGGGAGCAGGACTGTCCTGTTTGGGTGCATCTGGTATCTTGGAGTATCGTATTGGTATACTTTGTGCATGAGGTTCTAACCCTCTCTAAATCAATTATATATAAAGTTATGAACTAATTGCTGCAACTCATTTGGTTGTTAGAGTAAGAGTTCTTGTATTTCACAAATGGCCGACAAAATATTCTTATAAATTTGCAAAAAGCACGCACTGAGCAGGATTCGAACCTGCGCGGGCAGAGCCCATTGGATTTCGAGTCCAACTCCTTAACCTCTCGGACATCAGTGCATAAAAATATTTAATAAAAAAGTTACATTCCTTTTAGAGGCGACGAAATATCTAACATTTTCTTAAAATTATCACAAACATAGCCTACTATGCCACACAAATAACTAAAACAGAATTATTATTTCAGAAGACTATAAGACTACCAAGAAATGAATCTGGTAATTCTATCTGGCTCAAAAGCAGTAAACAGTTAATATACAAGTATCCAAACTTTACTACTATTACAAAGTTTGCGTACAATACGTAATACCTGCCTCACCATTGTCATGTTATCAAAGCTGATAATATACCGATTATTCTTCTCCAGAGGAACGCTATAGGAAAAGAATTAGTAATGCCTTGTTAGGTATGGAGCAAAATAAGGCAAACTTACGTAACAGAAGATGCTCCCTCAGAAAAAGCCTTATTAATGAGTTTACTATTGGCCGGTAGGAAGTTGGTCCAGCGCCCAGTATTCATCCAGGACCAATAGAAGAGTTCCTTAGGTCTAGGTTGCCGGTGTATAATAATCTGAGAATGTTTCTCTAGCAGGTCAATGAATAGAATCAAAGGTGAGAGCCATCTAATAAGAAAATATAAATCGGTATACAGTGCAGCCTCGATTTTCCAGAGGTTTTTGACAGGTCCAAATGAGTCCAGATAATTTATATGTATTAGCAAAGATTATATAAGAATAAGGTAAATAGTTACTCTATGATGGTAGTTGAGTCATTCTGTAACTGCTGAACAGCTAAGCCAAACAGATTAATACAGTGATCCTGTATAGGAGAGCCACTAGTGCAGGTAAGTGTATTATACGTGAGATTCTACAGAATAGAGTTTATAATAAGCAATACAATATTCAGTGAGATTTACAGAAAGTTACCTCGAATAGAAATATCAGCAAGAGAACTAAAGAATAGAGATGCTGATATATAGGCGAGTTAAGCGGTGATTCTTGTAACAGGGTAGCTGTCTCGTAAAATTCCTTGAATATGAGGTGTAGAGAAGGCTCGATGTAGCTAGGACCCCAATTAACCGTTATCACAGTAAATAGCGGGACTATACGGTAGACAGCTTGTGGTATCTTCTTGAGAAGGTGAGCACAGCAAGAGATGACATCATCTATAAATTCTGGATCATCACGTAAATTGAGTAGCTCGGGGGGTGAAGTTGCTTGTGGTTCTTCCTTACAAATTAATAACAAATAATATATTTATTCACATATTAATATCTTACAATTAATTACTTTAGGCTGTCCGTCTAGAGAGAGAGCTATTGCCTTCGCTACTTGATCATCTTCAGTCAATCCCTCCATCACTACCTATAAATGTTTGTGAATAAAATGCAGTAAACTGTATAAACAGATTTGTATCTCTTACTTCTGCAGGATGGGTCATTATCCAGTCTAGAGCTTGAGCTATATTATTGTTACAAGATTCTAGAGCTTTGCCTGCATGCTGTGAAGTGAAACCCATCTCTGTTAGCTAAATAAGAGATTGTTAAGTACTGCTATATTTATTGCAAATAATCTTACTCTCTCAACATGTAGTGCATTAGGAGTAAACACTTCAGGTACTGGAGCTGGTGCAGGAGTCTTCTTGCTTATCATCTCTAACCTTTCTCTGAGTACATTCTCTCCCTGAATTATACCACACAATATGGTGAGGTGAGGCTCTAGCAGAGCTAGACTCCCTGAGCAGTTGAGATTGTTCAGAAGCTTCCAAGAGGCTTTTAACGGCTCAATAAACACCTAACTCAGCGTATTTATTAACAATGTTGAATACATTGAGTATGGTAATGGTAATTCAATACAGTTACCTGTTGAGCATTTATAAGAAAGGAAGTTGGCTCGAATTGGTAGCATTTCACAGGTTGATTCTGCCCCTCGGAAGGAGTAGGCTTGAACGGTAGAATTATGTTTTGAGAGTGAAGGACAAGATTTATATTCAACAATTTCTCTACAAAGTTTAACCAAGCACTCAACCACTTATCGCATGAAACTATAGAACAAGTATAAGACAAAGTATAATTGTAATGGATTTGGAATAAAAGATCATTACTTACTGATTGGATAGGTTAGCATGTTAGCATCTTGACAAGGCTGTGTAAGAGTATTGAAGGATTGTTCATAGATCCTAGAAAGCGAATAATTATTGTGTTAAGATTTGATATATGAAGTTTGTATCATAACTTACTGAACTAGGACATGGAACCCTCCAGCTTTCTCAAACTCTGAGAGCATTAAGAGGTAAGGCTGCTTCCTTTCATCAAACAAAAAGTTTGAAGATGATATTATCAGGCAAGATTTTACCAAATGCAAGATACTAAAAGAGAAGGAAGATTCAAAAATTGAAGGCTAATTAAATATGAAGATAAATAGCACATACTCTCTTCCGTATTTTGAATCTTGGAAATTTGGCTGCCATAAGAGTTTATCTTTAAGAATTTCAATCAATACTTTAACCATCTCCACACAATTATCGTGTAGAAATACTTTAGCATTTCTGCTGATTTTATTTCTAATGCCAGGAGTGTTACACGCAAATCTAACTAAATGAGTGAATAGATCTGTTAGATTACTTCCTAAGTGTCTTATCACGTGGAAACAAGGCTTGAGTTTCTTGATCACGCTAGAAGTAGGTTTCTTATCAACAACAACTTCTACAGTTGCTTCTAAACAATAATACGAATAAATTTTATTTCATAAAGAGAATATTGTGATGAGTGTATTACCAGTGCTGTTGGTTGGAACAGCTGGTGTAGAATCATCTGGTATTAATCTCTCTCGCTCTTTAGTTGGACAATTAACAGGGATGAGAGAGGAAGAAGTGACTGGTTCATTGAGTAAGAGAGCACTCTCCCAGAACAGAGAGTTGTGAAGGAAAGATAGCTGCTTTAATATGAGCTTTGTGCTGTCATCTTTAATCCATACACCCAAGTACTTTAGAAATTTAGCTTCATTCTAAGTAACAGATTTACATTAAAATATTGCAATCCAAATCAGTACTTTGTAAGAAATAGTATTTACGTACATTAGTTTTGTGCATGTTAGCAAGAAGAGCTATATAGTGCTGCGTTATACACATCCTATGTAGGAGAGAGTTAGTGGAAACTTGGTTTTCTATCTGTGAGCAGGACATGAGGACTGATTTGAGACTAATAGCAGAGGTCTCATAAAGGGGGGATAAGGTGTCTAATAACTGAGAGAGATGTTGTGATAGGATGAACTCTAAAATGTCTTGAGGATTTTTCATAAATTCCTATCAGAAAAATGATAATAACAAGTTCATATAATATATTCAAGAACATGTAAATACAACTCACAACTATCTGTTTTATGGAAGACAGGATGACGGTAAGAGCTTGAGAATTAGAGAAATCAAGAGGGAGATTAGGCATACACAGAATCTTCAGTATCAGGGACATACCACCTCTCTGTTGAAACTCATTCAAATGATCATCATTGTATGACTTATTTGCTACTATATGAGAAATGAATCTAATCTATAGAGAATAAGAGGATAACATATCACTCAACCCGTGTGTCCCCTTTAACTGTAGTATACTCACCACATTCAGTATGTAGTCTATTAGTGGAATGTGTCTGGATTTCTCCATAAGTTGATTACTTAACTTCTCCAATGTAACATTCTCAGATACAGTAGGACTGCTATCATCTGGTTCCTCAGAATAATATGATATAACATCCTCTATAGTATCCCCTTTGGATGGGGTAATGATCCAATCAGGATCAGTCCCATAGTCCAGAATCCGCTCAAGCAACTTTATAAGAGAGTCAAACACATGGGATCTGAGTGTAGGTTGATGTCTCATTAGTTGGTCCATTGAAGAACCAAGCACAGCTGGAGTAGCATCAAATCCTGTAGTGCTGCTCTCTACATTCTTACGTTTCCTCATAGCACTCAAGTACTCAGGACTGATTAGAATGGAGAATAATCTATCGAATGGCTGAGCTTGTAAGAACACGTTTAAGCCTCTCTCATTCAGACACAAAGCACTTAGCATATTAGGTAGTGCAGTCAATATGTCAACAGTTGGAGGGATCTGGAGAGTATAAATTAATACAGACCCTAAATAATAATCTATGCTATTTCTTCCCAAATACAAATGTAGTATCGTTACATTTATAAAATGATAAAATTTACAAGAATAGTTAATGTGAGAAGGATAGTTAGAGGATTCTCAACAAATCAATGGAGTAGTAAAATAGGTTTGGAGATACATGCTCAGATAAAGTCTAACACAAAACTATTCTCAGTAGCTACAAATAGCTCAGATAAACCACCTAACACATGTGCTGACCTACTAGACATAGCTCTTCCTGGAGTACTACCTCAGTTAAACAAAACCTGTGTAGAGTATGGGTTACTTACTGCTATAGCGATGGAGTGTAAAGTCAATGCTGTCTCATATTTTGATAGGAAGCATTACTTCTATCCTGATCTACCAGCAGGGTATCAAATAACGCAGCAACGAGTACCATTAGCAGAGAATGGTAAGATCAACATTAGAACGCAAACTCTGGTTGAATCCAGCAGCAGGGAATGTTTTGAAGTTAGAATAAATAGATTACAGCTAGAGCAAGATAGTGCCAAGATACTAATAGGAGATTCTAACACAACTCTACTGGATTATAACAGAGCTGGTGTAGGTCTTATGGAGATTGTAACAGCTCCTGATATGTGTACTGGACAAGAAGCAGCTTCATTTATAAAAGAATTACTGCTTCTATTGAAAACTCTACAAGTTTGTGACTGTAAAATGGAAGATGGATCATTCAGAGTAGATGCTAACGTGTCAGTACATAAGGACGGTAAGCCAGCACCAAGAGTAGAGGTAAAGAATATTTCTGGTACAAAGTTCATCAACAAAGCTATCTCATACGAAATTAACAGACAGACACAGATGTATAAAAGAGGAGAGAAAGTTCACGAAGAGACGCGTATGTTCGATAACAAACGCTCAATTACGTATCCAACGAGAGAGAAAGGTGGAGG